GTTTAGGGTTTATTCTAAATTAAAAACCGTAAACTATGGGTCCCTTTAACACCTCCTTCATCATGTCCGAGCATCATGTTGGGCTCCACGCCGGAAGCGACGCCAGCGGCGAGCACGGACAGCGCGAAGAGCCACGAAGCTCCACCACTGCAGGCGCTGAGGAGCGTGTTGTAGGTGAAGAGGTCCTCAGGGCTAGGCTTTTAGGGGTTTAGGGTTTAGGGTTTAGGGTTTGGGGTTTGGGGTTTGGGGTTTAGGGTTTAGGGTTAGGGGTTTAGGGATTAGGGTTTAGGTGTCTAGGGACTATTTAGACCACTTATATAGTTAACATTGGGCTAGTTTGGGCCTTAAAACCTACTTTGCTGTACGGCCTCTATAAGTTCGATATTAGGGTTTGCAATCATAACCCCAAAAAACAAAGGTTATAGGATCGTTCAATATGGAGCTTAGGATTTGGGTAAGAATCTGCCTACTGTTGATGATACAAAACCTGCAGTACCTTAAGGACCCTAAGCTATGGGAATTGTGGGTAATGCAGGATTTATATCACCCCTAAACCCTAAACACCAAACCCTAAGGCCTAAACCCTAAAGTAACCGAGAACCCTATATTCCTTGTCATGGGTCATGCAGGATTTATGTCATCAGCCGTATCAGTTGTAAAAGCACACAGACCTTCCCCCGACAGGGTCCAAAGGACCCAATAGTAAGGTACTGTAGTTGCGGATGGCAGCTATCTAAACCCTAAACCCTAAACCGGCTCACATTCCCTTAGCCTCAAAGGACTCATACCTTAAGGCTTTTGGGCCCAAAGACCCTATTATATAAGGCTTTTGGGCTATTTTGATGCTAAGGGATTGAACATTTGAGAGAGTTTGTGAGTCTTCGGTGCTTGGACCCTTAGGCTTCCAAAACGAGGAGCTAGGCAGCCAGACCTTCCAAAATCCCGTGGCTGAGGAAGATACTTTATATCGAGAAGGAGATCCTACAGTGATTTGAGGTATCTTCCTGCATTCCCTTGTAGATCCCTTTGAGGAACCCTTATAGGAACTTTGGGATCCTACTCTAATTTTTAAGTATATTCCTGGTTTAAGGGCTTTGGAAGGTCTGGCTAGCATCGCCTTGTGCAGCCTGCAACTCCAAACTCTTGAAAGGCGTAAGCCAACACAACTCACATCTCTTAATCCCCCAGACCTTAAACAAACCAAGGAACATCCCAAAGACGTTCATTCAACACCGCAGAAGAAAGCACACCAGAAAAACACACGAACAACATGAAGCATCGGCATCCCAAAATAGAAACAACAGGATAACACTAAACCCTAAACCCTAAACCCTAAACCCTAAAAACCCTAAAAACCCTAAAAACCCCTAAGAACCCTAAACCCTTAACCCTAAACTCTTTTCTTTGAGCTCTGCTTCGGGCTCCAGGTGCTTGGCGACCAGCGTATCCTGAGGTGGTGCTTTCCCTCCGGTTTGGGGTTTAGGGTTTTGGGTTAAGGCTTTAGGGTTTAGGATCTAGGGTTTAGGGTTTAGGATTGAGGGTTTTGGGTTGAGGGTTTTGGGTTGAGGGTTTAGGCTTTAGGGTTTGGGGCTTAGGAGTTAGGATTTAGGGTTTTGGGTTTATTGTTTAGGGTTGAGGGTATCTCTTTGTTTGGAAGGTTCAGGTTGCAGTGTTTAGCTAGTTGTAGTATAGATACATAGGTAAACATAGATAGATAGATAGATAGATAGATAGATGGAGAGATAGAAAGATAGATGGATAAACAGATAGATAGACAAATAGATAGACAGATTGATAGAGAGTATGATACTGGAAGGGGCTCCCTTTTGCAAGGAGCCTCGTGCAACTATTGAAGGTTGAAGTTTAGTGTACCTACGGTGGGCTGAATGCACCCCACACCCTAAAAACCCTAAATCCTAAATCCAAAACCCTAAATCCTAAACTCTGGGCCCGCTTGAAAAGCCCTACTTCCCCGACTCCCGAAAGCCCTAGTTTATGCGGAACTCCTGAAGACGAGACCCTAAACTTCAGAGATTTAGGGTTTAGGGCTTTAGGGTTTATAGGGTTTTAGGGTTTTAGGGTTTAGGGTTTTCGTGTTTTAGGGTTTAGGGTTTAAGGTTTTAGGAACTAGGGTTTAGGGTTTCGGGACCCTAAACCCTACTTGCCTCGAACGAACCCCCTAAGACTCTTTCTGACAAAGGATCCTAAACAGGAGTGTGGTTCCTTCTATGGTGCTTTATATTGGGCATTTCTGACTACAAGAGTGCTTGGGCTATACCTAAGTAAGTAAATCTAGGAATACCGTAGGTAATTATTCTCACCCCTATATTTTGCAATATTGCACAGAAGGTCCACCAAACGCAGCGCTTCTTCCCACGCGCGACCCTTGGCGCAGGCGCCAAGAGCGGCGTTGTATGCCTTGGTTCTTGGGTCTAGGGCTTAAGACGCGCCCGGAGGCTCCATAGATAATGATAATACCATTCTGGAATTAGGCCCGTACTTAGTAATCATACACTCTCCCAGACAAAGAGCAAAGATAACTACTATCGGCATCTAAAGTACCTTATGATTGTGCCCTTTGGACCGTTAGGATACTGGCTTTGGGGACCTAGTTCCACCAACATCTATCCTAAACCCTACAACCCTAAACCCTACAACCCTAAACCCTACAACCCTAAACTCTAACGCCCTAAACCCTAAAACCCTAAAGGCCCTAAACCCTAAACCCTAAACCCTGAACCCTAAACCCTGAACCGTAAACCCTAAACCCTAAACCCTAAACTCTAAAACCCTAAAAACCCCTAAAGCAAAGCTCCAAACTCCTCCAACTCCCAAACCTCCAAACCCTAAGCCAAATCCCCACCTTAAAGACGAAATGAGCCCCAAAAGAGTTGAAGGTTCATACACCTTACAAGGTTCATACTGTTGACGATGTAAATCCTGCATTACCTTAAGGACCCCAAACTATGCTGATTGTGGAATATTCCTTATTCTGGCTGATGCAGGATGAATATATTGTCAACCGTAATATGAGTGTACAGGGCTCCTACTGTTAAGGGTCATTTTGTCCTTAAGGTAAGCGAAACCGAACCAGACCTGCCCCCTGGTTACGAGCCCCATCTTCGTTGCCACTTCAGCCTGGGCGCAAGCTAAAAGAACAACAGACGTCCGTAGAACGCAACCGTAATGAACAAACTCTGCACGCACGCCCAGCAGCGACCCGTTTCTTGGCTGCGTCCTGGTTGAAGCAGAGGGCCGCGGTGCCAAATTGGGTCGCCAGCAAATTCTCCACCTGGACTCGGCCATGCCCCAAGAGCACAAGCGGACAGTGCGACAGCGCTAAGCCCCCGACCATGTAGACGGTGGAAACGGGGAGACTGTCGTCGACCCCCAGCGCCTTGCACATGTCTTTGCAGTGCTCCAGGTAGGCCTTGCCTGGGTAGATCTTCGGACAGTCTGTGACCTCAACGATTCCCACCAGCTGCTAGAATTCCTAAAGCACGTAACCACAAAAGCCACTCTCATGCACTTCAAAGCCCGCTGCCTTGTGCGCAAGGGCCTGCATAATGAGTGCAGTCTTGGTGGCCACCTTGTCGTCCTGGCGTGACAAACGTCACAGACACACACCCCTCACAAGACAAGTCACACCGAGTCACACCCAAGAGCTCTCCTTGTTCATCAGCGCATACGTCGTGGCCTGGAAGCTCATGTTCGACACAAGGCCACGAGCAGACGGGGTCTCCAGGCCCAGTGAGAAGCGCTCGAACATCAGACCTAAAGTCAGACTTGCTGAGTTCTTGTTCTTTCCCACCAACCAACACAAAAATTCAAGATAGTTGCAATCAAACCGCTGCGGCTCTGACCCGGAGGCCACTTAGTGTGAACCTTCTTCAAGTTTGCGAGCGCCTCTTCTTTGATGCCCTGCTGAGCAAAAAATGATTCTGGCACACTAGCGCCGCCTAGAAAAAGCCTGGCCTCCCAGTTTAGCTTATCGACAAACCTCTGCGTGAACTTTAGGAATTTAACCAGCTCTTTCTGCTTTGTGAGCTCGTCGTCATCGCCGTCCAAGTCGCCTGACACTTGTTGCATACGCGTATCTCAAAACTCACAACTGCAGGCTGTAGCTGCAGAACTTTGCTAGCACACACTCCAAGTCACCTTCGGCCAGTTCGGTGTTGAGGTAGCCGTTCGGACTGAGAACAATGCAGTTCTTCTCAAATGGACCATTGACTTTGTCCTGGCCGCGACAAGGAACTGCGTGACGCACATCACCCTCTTGTTTCGCCGCTTCATCAAGCTGATTCGCCCATGTGCCAACACAGATGATCCTACGCGCACCGATCAGTGCTCTTCAGGAACACAGCCCCCGAGGTGTAAAGGCAGAGAGCCAAAAACTTCCTGAACTTTCGGTACTATACATTTCCAAACACCAAAAGACAAGGAAGCTTACTCAAGACTACCCAGCTAGAACACAAGAAATAAGTTAACACTAAGAAGGAACTCTTAAACGGGCCTTCAATCGATTTTGCACCGGCATTGCTACGGTTGACACTGCTCAGGCAGGGTCGGGGAGGGCTGCGGGCCCCTTGATCAGTGAAGAGCACAGCGCAAGGCGTGCATCCCTGTGAAGCTGTTGATTTTATTTATTTGCGCAAGAAAGACGAATCAAAATTGCGCGCGCGGGCCGGCGCTGTATCTGTAATCAGTATCTACGTTACAACAAAAGGGGCAAGGAAAAGTTAAAGCATGCGCCCGCCACTGATCCATCAGCCGGTCCTTGTCCGGCACAACGGCCTCCAAGACACACACGTCTTTCGGGCTGTGGCATGGGTAGCGCCAAACCTCAATCGCGCAGCGAGAATTTCACACTCACACGGAAGCCTTGCGCAAGCTAAACGAAGCTTACGCGGCCAAGGCGCAGCCACGCTGCCCTGGACAAAGTCTGTCCCGTCGGTGATCAGGCACTGGTTGGGCTCCAGCCAATCGTAGTCATAGCCGCAGACGGCTTTGACCGTGCACGAGACGTCGCTCCTTTGGGTGGGAAGATCGGCAGCTGCATACGGAGAGAAGAAACACTCAGCACAGGCGCACGGGGCTGAGGGCGTGGCCACCGCAGCGATGGCTTGCTGGTCCATGCCTCGGCCTGGTAGAGGAGCTTGGACTCGCAGGCCTTGAAGGCGCTGTTCGTGCCGGCTCGGAGATCATACGGCACGGCGTCCAAACCTGAAAGTACAAGAACACGCACTGCGTTGAGGCACAATATGAAGCAAGCATTGCATGGCTTAGACGACAACCCTTCTGCAGGAGATCCTCCAGAGGCGTGGGCTCTGTGGCCTCAGCACTACTCACTCTCAAGGCGCGTCTACATTAACTAGAACAGAGAATCCCTACCCAAGTGTGTCAGCCGAGAAACGTCAGGCACAACTTCACGCTGAACCCTAAAAACCCTAAACCCTAAACTCTAAACCGTTAGGATTAAGGGAACCCTTGGGGGAGATAGACCCTCTCAATCGTTTCCCTTTTAGGAAAGCCATGAGCACGGTAAAGAAGGGTCCCCTTTAAGGGGTCGCCCTAATACAACCGAGGATAAAAACTCTAAAGGACCCCTTAAAACCCTAAACCCTAAA